ACGCACGCACGCACGCACGCACGCACGCACGTACGCTCGCACGCACGCACGCACACACTCACGCACGCACGCACTCACGCACACACTCACGCACGCACGTACGTTTCATCACGGATGCGCGGCCGAGATACGGAGAGAGACAGACGAGGGGGCGTCGGAGGGTTTTCAAAGGGGAAAGCTTACGTACGTACGACGCATGGCCATGTGTCGCGCTAACGGACTAGAGCGTTGGGTTATAGCCGTGGAAGGCCGCGCTGGGTCACAAAACTGAAGCGAGAAAGCCACGAAGAGAGAGAGAGAGAGAGAGAGAGAGAGAGAGAGAGAGAGAGAGAGAGAGAGAGAGAAAGAGAGACAGAGAAAGAGAGGAGAGAAAGAGAAAGGAAGAGAGAGAAAGAAAGAAAGTGGCAAAAAGAGAGAGAGAGAGAGAGAATGAGGGAGAGAGAGAGAGAGAGAGAGAGAGAGACCGAGACAGAGAGCGAGAGAGCGCGCGCGCGAGAGAGAGAGACAGGGACATAGAGATGGGGTAGCGGTTATACGAGCTACAATATAAGGATAATGGCCGCATGTAACGCGTATATTGCAGCTGGTTATACGAACGCGCCATCCAATAAACCTCCACAACAACCCCCACCTCTCCCCCATCCGTATACGTTCTCCCCTTCTCCCCTACACCGTCCCCCTCCTCCTCCCTAATCGCTTCCCAAGTTATGACGAAGAGGGAGAGAAAATTAAAATCCGAGACGGCGGGGAAAAAAGAAGAAGAGGGGGGGGGTGCACCACCCGGATCTTGTGATGCAGGGCGTAAGACGGAGTTAGTAGTAAGTAGTGTGGTACGAGTTAGTGTTATGACTATGATGCAATAAAAAGCTTCGGCCACGTTACTTGCTGGATGACAATGGGGAAGGCCTGACTTCTGACAGTTGGCCCTCGAGCTAGTCCCGAAGCGGCGGGCGCAAACCTGTTTAGCATCAGCAAGTGTTAGACTACATTGTACATATGTCGGTGTCGGCCTGCCCCTGGTATACAGCGTGTTGTACGCGCGCACGCACGCACGGACGGACGGACGCTAGCGCACGGCACGCACGCACGCACGCACGCAACCGCACGGCACGCACGCACGGACGGACGCACGGCCGCACGCACGCACGCACGCTACCGCAC